ACCCCATCAGTGCCGACCCAACTACACCACCACGCGCATGCCTCGCGGCGGATATGCGCAGCAGCAAGAAGGTTTCGGTCATCCCTTGAGGGTGAGTCTAGCCCTGCTCGCCAGAAAGACCCCCCCCTTCACTACAACCCATGTCTAAGCAAAAGCTTGTCGAGGAGCGAGGGGAAGAAGGGAGACTGTTACGATATATCTAGACTATTTAGTCTAGACTAGAAGACTAGATAGACTAGATAGGCTAGCCTATGCACAGGATCCCATAATTTGAATGTTCAGCAACGCCGGCCGAAGTCACAATAAGAGTGATAAACGAATGCGAGGACTCCCCTTGCAACACTGGGATAACTAGGTCAACGACACCTGTCGTATATGCCTATTATCTCCGGAGGAACTCGTCGACGGACAGATCACGGACCGTCTTGCTCGCCGTGCAGAGTTTGTTGTTGTTTGTTTGTAGAGTGTGCGTCATCTGTTTTATCTCGCTATCATTATTCACGGTGCCCCCTTTGAGGAGTTACGCCGCATCGGTAGTCTCGCTCGTACGAGGCACGATCTATATCCCTCTCTTGTAGCGTGGTGTGCACTGGCTGATGCGCACCCTAGAGAGCAAAAGAATTCGAAGTGGTGGAGACTTCTAGTCCACACCTCTCACAGGTGGGTTTTGTCCATGTCAGCAATGTAGAAACAAGCCTCTTGATCTTTCTGGGCCGGCCGAAAAAAATCGTGACTGGGGATCGACCCGGTTCTTCGCGTGCCAACAAACCTTTTTTTTTTTCCAATACCAGGTGATGGTGCGGAAAGGGACAGTTGTAAAGGAGGAGAGCCTGCGGCAGGAGCTCCTGGACGACCCGGAGGTCGATCCGCCGGAGGTTGGGGGGAGGAGGCTGGACTGGCAGCGAGATGCGGTGCATTCGAGACAGTCGTCGCTGAGGGTGCTCGTCCCGACAGCAGCCAGGTACTGAAGCAATCGTCGTACGATTGTGTGCGAGGCAGCATGCGGGGGACACTCAGATTGTCCGCAGCGGACACGTGCTCAATGCCGTGCTTTGGCTATTGTTGCATGTAGACAGCAAACGCAACAAAGCAAATGCAGCGTGTTGGGGTGCTGGCATAGGATTGAAAGACAGACAGTCTCCGCTTTTGTGTTGTGTTGGCGTAGCTCTAATGCCAAGTGCTCTCCGCTTGGATGCCGATGTCAACAGGTTTGTCAGGGTGCTTCTGTACGAGTCTACTGCTGTACCGAACGCTGCGTTGTTACTTGTTCCAAGCCATCATGCACGAAGAAGAGCAAACCCTGCCTCTATTGTAGACCGTAACAGCAACTGCGACAGCAGTAGGGTTGCCTGCACTTCCTGCGACGGGCTCTCCTAACCTCGCTGAGCTTGTCCGTGATGGATAAACTCTTGTACAGACGATTATGGACAATTTCTTTTTTTTCTCCCATCATTGGATTCTGTCGTCTGCCCCGCTGGCCCCTATCCTCCACTTCTACTAGCTAGACGACCCAACCGGGGTCACACAGGAGGGGGGGGTTGGATCCCCTCCTGCGGTTCCTGCCTGAGATATTTTTATCGCGAGAAGGGTACAGCAATCCCTTCCCTCGCGACTTATGAAGTCGATCAAGTTTACTAACCACGCGCTTTGCAGCGCATCGCTTTCAACGGAGACCAGGATTTATTTACGTTTGTTGCGAGATAAAACTCTCTCTGTTATGGACATGTGTCCAGAAGACTGCGGTGTGTCTCACGTCTATACTGCTGTAGATGGTTAAGCCCACCCTGTTCCAGCTGCCACACGGAAGAGTATTTGCCGACAACACGTGCTTGCGCTTCGTCGGCAAGGACCTCTACTGCTGTACAAACTCTAATCCCGCGGGGAGGGTGGACGGCAGTGCTTTTTGGCGGAATGCAAAAGCCAATCCTCTACACGTCCTGCACACTATCCCCGCCGCGGGGGGATCACGTAGTTTTCAGCTCTGATGTCTGTGCAAAAGGCACACTCCTATGTATTTGTTTTACAGCAGTAGGGCAGCGACAGCAGTCTGGCATGATCTCCAGCAATATGTATCTATCTTGTCAATGCGAAAAGTGGAAATGACCAGAACCAGGTGCCTTTGTATCATGTCGTCGTACCCTAAAAGCTTCCCTTCGGGAGTTTGGTTGCTTACCTCTCGGAGGGGGGGTGCAAGAGGACATGGCCAATGCCATCGAGGTCGCATCGATGCATCTCGACGTGATGGGTGCCGGTTTTCGCACACACCTGCAGAATTTGCCTGGAATTTGCATCATGCGCGTTTTTTTGTCTTCTTCTCGCTGTGACTCTTCGCGTGTGCTTGAATGTGTGCTTTTGGACTAAAATGGTGGCGTCTTTGCTGCAGATCCTACAGCTGTTGTCAAAACTAATTTTGTAAAAGTAGCTTTTACATTTTTAAAAGCTAAACCTTCGTTATGAATTTCCCAAAGTGCTTTAAGTTTTTAATTAAATTATTGTCTTCTTTTGAATTCGCTGCTTTGGATCACTCGCTCTTGTGTATTCATGCTGCTCATGGTCTGGGGCTTATGAGCATTATTGCGCAGGAATCAAAACAAAACTCTTCCTGTTTTACGCAAAGCAGTTTTTTTTTCATTTCAAAGGCTTTCGTCGGGAGGAACACGTCCCCGGGGTATAGAGCCAGTGTGTCGACTTTCGGCGTCAAGCACACGCGCCACGGAAGCTGGCGGTCGTTGGACGTGCGTGGTAATGGTCTGAGAAGAAAGCGTGAGAAAAACTCGTTTGCGCCATGGAAAGATAAGATTGGAAAGGTAAGATATGGTCTGAGAAGAAAGCTTGAGAAAAACTCGTTTGCGACATGGAAAGATAAGATTGGAAAGATAAGATATCTCGAAATGCGAAAACAAGCACTTTTTACTGCAGCTTGGCACGGTACTTCTTCAGTCCGCCGACAAGTGGTGCCTACCGTGTCAGCGAGTCTTCCGTGGTGCGTTGTGGCCGGCCGTGGCCAGCGGTGGACAGCCCTTCTCCTCTAGTAGCAAACACAGCCAAGTACAGAGCTACAGAGCTCCATTGAAGGCACACCAAGTTACACGCACACACCATTTTCCCGATCAATCGTGTCAAGGCGCTGATTCCTGTGGTGTTATCCAGCATGTGTCCCTCCCTCCGCCTCCCTGCTGCCAAGACTTGCAAGGAACACCCCCCCCGTTGGACGGGTTAATGTCTCGAGCGGATGGTCCTTGGATGATTTTCTGAATAGCAGCAGTCATACCCTCCCCCCCTTCAGCCCGCCAGCCCAGTCCCTTTGACCCTCATAATACACAGTCCCTTCGCAAAAATCCACTTCCCAATGTTTTAGTCGGTCATTGGCTGAGGGGCTACAGTCCCTGCAACGAAATCGGAGAGTGTCGAGCTCCTTGTCAAAAAAACGGTGACTTGGCTTTAGAATGAAAAGTGTCCCCAAACGTTGGCACACCCTTCATACTGAAACCAAGTCTGCAAATGTTTCCAGTACCAGGCTAGAAACGCGGCTTGGGAGATTGTGTGCTGCAAGTCAAAGGCCGAGGAGAGGCATCACACAGCTTATCGTACCACCTCACCCAAGCATGATAGACCAAGGGTTCTCACGTGCGTTTCACACAGCGGAGCCTAAGAGCGACTACGCTGCGGTAATCAGACATTTGAGTGCTGTGTCCCCAAAGTGTATCCATTTGGGCGTTCCGTACGAAGCGGGATAAGAGCACATACAGTACTGCCGTACGAGAGAGGAATAAAGGGGTCACTGGTCGCGTCTTTTTACCTCGATGCAAACAGCGTGTTCAAATGGGACCAAGGCGGCGCCCTGATCGAGGGCATCGACGAAGCGACCATCGGCCTTCTCGATGAGCACCGGCTGTCCATCAAGACTCTGGGGGAGCGGTACTGCACCGACCTTAACTCCGAGCGACCAGAGCACAGCGGCGGGGTGAACCCAGAGCGAGCGATGCAGGTATGATAACGTGTGGGTGGGGTGCGTTGGTTTATTTTAACCTCCTTGCGATGCTCATCTGCTTCTGTTGCCGACTGCTGTTGCGGTCACACACTTCCGTCAGTCCTGCCATGAGTGGAGTTCAGCATTGTTCGTCACAGCACTAGTGCTGAAACCTTTAACTTACACGACGCCAGGAATCTAGGTCTCCACAGCAAACTGTTTTCTTTGTTGTGCATGTGGAACATCCCCCCCGCCCCCCCACCCCCCCCGCGGTGTTTGCCATCGGGTTTGGGTTTTCATCGCTTGGCAACGACGTTGTAAAACAAGCCGCCCCCCCCAGTGTTTGCCATCGGGATTGGGTTTTCGTCGCTTAGCAACGACGTTGTAAAACAAGCCAATTCACTTCGTGAGCTCGGCAACCAGGTTACCGGGTTTTTTTTTTCACCTCCGTTTTTTTTTTGGCGGTAACCATACTGGTGGTCGAGTAGATCATGTTGTGCGGGATGGAGAACCCTCACTCCGCGCAAGGGGGATGATCGCACCACGTTGTGTTAAAATGGTCAAGAACCCTCGAGGCAGTTACACAGTGCTTACAACTGTCTCTGGAAGTGAAAGCACCAGAAAATGAATTAATTCATACGCAGCTGTCATCCGTACGCAAGGAAGTATGCACAAGATGCCGAAAACCCTTAGCAGGATGCAGCGCACCCTTCATGCGACTCGCCGAATATCTCACGGCGCTTCGCGCTCGGTGATCTGAGAGCCTGGTCCGGTGAGAATCCGGCGTGCTCCGTCCCGGCTTTGTAGGGATGCGAGGTCAATGGTCTAACGACTACGGCATGCACGACTAGAAGTACCCCCCACACACACACACACACCCCGCCCCAGACGCGTGCTACGCGCTTCTAGGCAGTGCCTCGTCGCGAGACTTCCAATTTCAGAGTGACTTGTGCATCCACGTTGGTTGATAGACAGCCGTAGTTTTTCCAGGAGTTTTGAGGAACACGGTAGCGTTGACCATGCCGGTACACGCCCGAGCATAGCTGACGGTGATGATGTTGTTGGGGTTGGTGGGATGGTGTTGGTGGTGGCTGTGGTGTACTCCTCTTCTGCTGCCGTAGTGTATTTCTAACGTGGATCCTGTCGGGTCCTCGCCAGGATGATCGTTTCTAAAGTCGGCGCGTTGCGTACGAACATCACTCTAGGCGCCTTCCTACTCCCTTCCCATCCCGCGGACTATGGATCCACTGGCATCCTTTGCCTTGCTCAAGACCGGAACAGGAAGAAACGGTGTACGCATTCACATAATAACTTTAGGAGCGTTTCGCCATCGGTCTGCCCGGCGATTGCGGGACATGGTGGCCGCGATCGAACACAAACACACGCCCTGTCGACGTGCGAAAACACCCCCGCAGGTGTTGAATATGATCGGACCTAACGAGCTCACGCCGCCGCCGACGGAGCCCGGGTGGAAGCTCTTCCTCAAGGAGCTGCTCGCGCCGCTCAACCTCATGCTCATCTGCGCCTCACTTTTGTGCATCTTCGTAAGTCGAATGTAGGGCCGGACGCGGGAGGGGGGGGAGGGGGGCGTGTGTATGTGAACGCGCGGTGTGTACGACTTGCCCCGAAAGTCACCCGCCTGTGGATTCATGCGCGGCCCGCCGGGAATGATCCGCTCCTGGTCCCCTCGCGCTTGGTGTTTTGATTTTGGCGGAGCCCGTGCGTTGCACTTTGTTTTGTTCCCGATGCCAACGTCAAAAAGATCGTAGAACTTGACGGGCAATCGCGGCTGCCAGATGTGGTAATCGGTTATTGGGACCCCCTCACTCCCGCCCTCTTGGCTCCGCGTTTGTTGACCTAGGTCGACGACGATGGCGATCTAACAAATCCCCCCCATCCCCCCCGTGCCCTCTTTCTTGAAGATCTACGCCGCGACCGTTTTCGAAAGCGACAGCAGCACGGATATGGAATCGTTGCAGCTCGGGCTGGTTCTGGCCGTGGTGATCCTCCTGAACACGCTGCTGGACTTCACCCAGCGGCAGAACGCTGAAAAGGTGCTGCTTCGTAGTTAAAAAAACGTTCATTACTATAAAGAATCAAAAAAAAAAAACTTCCTATTACACCCGTTCAGCAACGGCAGCAGCCTCAGCAGCTTCAGATTACGTGAACAGAGGTCGCTCGACGTGGACCTATGCTGAGTTGCTTGCTCGGGGAGTAATGCCGCGGAATGCAGCGGCTTCGCGGAGACTTCCGTTTGTTTGTTTTTTATGTCAAGAAAGACACCTCGACAGCGACAAATAGCTGCGCACTAGGTGGGCTTGAGAGGCATCCTATCAAGCACGGAACACAGAGGTGTGGCCTTGTGTATTTTAAAGGTTGCGCTGGCGGTGCGGGCCGGAACGTTGGTTGGTAAGAGGTCCAAGAATATGTACGCCAAGGAGGAAGGACTGGTTTTGTGCGGTCGGAGTAGTTGGTGAGGGTTGTGGTGAGGGATTCGCGCCGACAGAGGTGGAGAGGGGTCTGCCGGCAGCAGTGGCCTGCCCTACTGCAGTCCGCGTTTCCTTGGGGGAAAGAGTGAAGTGAAATAAATGAAAGGTGGCCGCTAGTCGAGTCTTTGAAAAGTGTTTTTTGTTGCCTCTTCCGCGCTCCCCAGGGACGTGGTCGTTGAAGTGGGGCTCATTCTAGTCTGTGTGTGGCGCATACCCACTAAGTACGCATGTTTGGGTGAGGTTTTGTTGACGGACATCGCGTCCTCAAGCCAACCGCCGCCTAGGGGAACAGAAATCGCGAGTGACGTTGTTGGCGGCGGCCGTTCATTCTCTCGCTGCTGCAGTGATAGGCAGTCACGTGCACTGCTCGGGGACGGTGTTCTTCGTTCCGATGGTGCTGACGGTAGTGGTAGATCTCGTAGGTCTCGTTGATCTCGTAGATTTCGTAGGTGTGACTTACTGCTGTCCCACCGCTTGCTTGACGGGAGCTCCCTCCTTTTTTCTTTTTGCTACCCGCCCCGTTCTCTCGAGAGAGCAGGTGCTCAAGAGCTTCTCCAAGCTGTGCCCTTCGAGCTCCCTGGTAAACAGGGGCGGGGAGACGCTGGAAGTCGATTCGACCGAGCTCGTCATGGGAGACGTGGTAACTCTCAAGTGAGCGTGCCTTTGATGGCCCAGACGCGGAGCAAATATGCCGTACATTCCGTAGATTTTGTACACGTAACGGGTTGCTGAAGGCGCCGACGGACGGACGGGCGCGGTGTAGCGCGTTCTCTGTGCGATCTTAAAAGTCTATCTTATTCTTTTTGGAGGTGGTTTTCGGGTGTACGTTGTGTAGGCATGTGCTTGGTATCTCCACATCTCGCTTGATTTCGCAGCGTGCATGGCGATGTCGCTGACGATACTCAAGTGCTGATGACGAGTACGTCGATTACTTCACCCAACCCTCCTGCTTCTTTTTTTTTGTGAACAGAGCCGGGGACAAGATACCCGCCGACATCCGGTTCATCTGGTGCAACGGCGCGACGGTGGACAACTCCTCCCTCACGGGAGAGTCGGCCCCCCTAAAGAGGACAGCCACCGCCAGGACGGACAACTCCAGGGAGGCCGAGAACATGGGCTTCTTCGGGACGACGCTCGTGCAGGGGAGCGCCCTCGGCGTGGTCATCCGGACGGGGGACAGGTGGGGTGACCTCAGGACGGTTGCTCTCTGGTGGACATGCATGAGTAACATATGCCGCGTGTTTGTTTAAGTACTTTAAGGAAAGTATGTGAGAGTGTGTTGGACAATATCAGGTAGACATACGCATGGAATCACACGAGATGGTACAGGGGTCGTCGGATGTGTTGAAATGAAAATGGAATGAAAATCTTTGCAGCGGGCGGAAGAAAAATCCGCTGGATGCTGGGCTTAATTGTGAGTCTAGTCAAGGTTTTTGTGTGAAAGCATTCACAATCCTATATTACCTTATAATTGTTACTCGTGTGGTTGTGTCTGGGTGTGGGGAGGTTTGGACGTTGGCGTGTGTTCCTTCGAAAAATGGAAGACCACACGTGGTTTTTCCTTTGCAGTGTCGGCGTTACAGTGTACCTCGTGCAATTTCTTTCGAGCTTGTGTGGAGGGTGCATCGCTCCGTGTGTGTGATGTAGGACAACATGTGACTTAAAAGAATTCTGTATTCATGTGCATGGGACAAATGGAAAATTGCGCACAAGCGATGGTGAGTTCTTGGTGTGTACCTGATTATGCAGCGGTTGTCGAGCTTGATGGACTCGACATTTGGCGCGTGCAAGAAGGCCATTTTTTTTTGTCCGACACTGCTGTGCTGCGGGCCATACATACCTTCCTTGCCGGCCCCACCCCCCCCTCTCCCACCCGTTGCACCCTAATAAATGGGAACACCTCACCCTTCCCGCCCAGGACTCCCCATTTAGCATGTTGTGACCACCGCCACTGCGGTCCGGGTGATGACGACCTGTGTGTTTTATGTGCCTGCTGTTTCGTGCATGGATTGATGGATTGCGCCGCGCAGCACAACCATGGGCCAGATCGCGGCCTCAGCAGGAGCCAAGCGGGCGATCGAGAGCCCCCTGACGGTGGAGATAGAGATGTTCGTGAAGATGACGGCCGTGATCGCCACGATCACGGGGGTGATATTCTTTTTACTGGGGTACCTGTTGGTGGACAGCGACTTCCTCGACCAGTTCGTGTTCCTAGTCGGTGAGAGGGAGGAGCGGGGGGGAGAAGGCGGAAGGGAGAGAGGGAGAGAAGGAGAGACAGAGGCAGAGACCGACACAGAAAGACAGACAGAGACAGACAGACAGACAGACAGACAGACAGACAGACAGACAGACAGACAGACAGACAGACAGACAGACAGACAGACAGAGAGGCAGAGAGGTACACACAGAGAGAGAGAGAGTCGTGCATTATCACGTCCCCCACCCCCAATATCTCTGTTGTGCATCGCGCAGACCGTCGCTGCTAGATACACTTTTCTCGTTTCGCGTTCTCTTGTCTCACATCGTCTCTTGTGCCTTGAACCGAACTGCCGCGCCGCCGTTTTCTTGGGGCATTTCAGGAATATTCGTCGCTTTCGTGCCCCAGGGCCTGCCGGCGACCGTGACCATGCTCCTGACCTTTGCGGCCATGAGGCTCAAGGACAGGAATGTGCTGGTCAAGGACCTTACCGCGGTATGCAAAAAAAAAAAGAGAGTGTCCCTCTGGGTAGTTGATCAGATGTTTGTCTTCCGTGTTTTGTTCACGTTTTTTTCACGTTTTTTGTTCATTTCATGTGGATTCATCATCACTTGAATTGAATTTGGTCTCAGTAGCGGAGAAATACGCGATAGGGGGAGATAAATGGAAGAGGGGGGGTCGAGGTGACCGATCTCTTACTGTACCGGCAAAATAAGAACGGGCTTGCACGATTGAAGGAATGCGTGCTGCACTCTCGTGCCCCCCCCCTCCTCTCCTACCTTATGATTGTGCGGAACCCCTCGCCTTTTTCGCGCTCCCCTGTTGCCGTTCAATGCCCCCCCCCTTCCGGTTGTTTTGCTCGCTCGTCATCAGGTGGACACCCTGGGCACCATCACCCTTCTCGCCTCGGACAAGACCGGCACCCTTACCATGAACCGAATGACCGTGGTGGAAGTCTGGATGAATGGCAGGCGCCTATCGGCGCAGGGGGCAAGGGACGCGGAGGCTAGCTTCGGCGCCGCGCCGGAGGTAGGTGGGAGGGTGGCCACGTTGTTGGCGCTTTTGCTGCGAGTGCGGGAGGGGGTTGGGTTTTTTTTCATGTTTTTTTTGTTGTTGTTGTTGTTGTTGGGGGATACACTGATGCTTCTTTTTGCGTGTGTGCCGTGGAGGGTTGGTGTTGCCAGACGAGAGAGAGAGAGGTTCCGTGGCGGGCCTACTACCCTACACGCGCTGTCTTGTCATTCAACGTGTTTTTATCTACCGTCCTCCACCTCACGTGCCTGCCTCTTGCGTGCACCCGCCTTCCTTCCGTCGTTTGCAATTCATGTACCCCCCCCCCCCCCCCCC